TATAAAAATAAAGCAAAAAGAAATTTTATCTAATAAGATTAGTTGGAAATATAAACGAATGTATTTAAAAGCTAATAAAATAGGAATTATACAATTGATGGAAACTTATATTAAAATTCTTTTAAAAAATATGAAAAAAGGCAGCAAAACAGCAAAAAGATTACAAGCAGAACAAATTATTAAATGGTGCAAGAGATAATTATATAAATATTCTAAGAAAGACCTTGTCAATATTAAGAAAGAAAACAATTGTATTATTGGATCGCACTGCCGAATGTTCTAGCGATGTTACTCTTAATAATTATAATCAAGCTTTATGTGGTTTATCTAGACATACATCTTTCACTGAATCATACTTTTACGAAACTAGTTATAAATATGTTGAATTTTATGAACCATTTGTTATTAATGAAAATGGACAAGTTACTAACATTTTACCAATAAGACGAAAACACAAGAAGAAAAGAATAGAATGGGAATGTGGATTTCAATGTAAAGGAAATGAATTATCTATAATTAATCGGTTCAAAGAATTTCTCATTACAGTATCTAATTGTTCGACAGTAAGAAATATTCCAAGGTTTATTAAATTAATAGGAATATGTACTGTTAAACAATTAAATAAGCAAGGACATTCACAAGCATGCTATATAAATCATAAATTATGTAAATCCAAATTGTTAGCATTACATTTTTTGTCGCCACATTATCCTACAGTAAGAAATATACAGAGACTCACATATCGATTAAAGAATTATTATGAAAGACTTTTAAAATTAGATGAAGCTTTAATTCTTGGAAATGTGCAAATTTTAAAACAAGTTGTGGAAACGGTGCGTGGCAAATATACACTTAGTAGTATAAATAACAATAATATTAATTTAAATGAGGACGAAATAATGTCTAAATATTCGTCAGCTTTTACTGCATTAACTAAACGAATTATGGATATACCACAATTCGTATGTTTGTCATGTGAAAAATTATGTTTTCGAAGAGACATTGTTGATGGAACAAAATTTAAAAAGCCTTTGTCAGGAATATGTTGGCAAAGATTAATAAATTATTTAAAGATCGATTTAACAAACACTTTTTATATTTGTAAATATTGTTTGACATATTTTCGTAATGATAATTTACCTCCAACGTGTATTTTCAATAATCTGTATGTCAATAAAGTACCCGACATAATAACTACATTAAATGATTATGAAAAGATCTTGATACAGAGAGCCAAAGCTTTTCAAGTAGTACAAACAATGGGAACAGTATCAAAAAAGAATTTGCCACATT